GGAAAGAGTTTTTCAGTATCACAAATAAGCACTAACCACAAAAGAAAGTATTGATAAAAGAATTAAAATTAACAGCTTCTTACAACAAACGTATGGTTACCAAAGGGGATAGCAGGGGTAGGGGGAGATAAATTAGGAGTTTGGGATGAACATATACACACTACTATATATAAAATAGGTAAACAACAAGAACCTACTGTATAGCACAGGGAACTATAATCAATATCTTGTAATAACCTATAATGGAAAAGAATCCAAAAAGGAATAGCTATATATGTATAACTGAATCACTTTGCTGTACACCTGAAACTAACACAACACTGTAAATTAACTATAGTTCAATTTAAAAAATTAAGAGCTTCTGCCCATCAAAACATAGCCGTCAAAGAATGGAAACAGAAACGAAGACTGGGAGAAAATATTTGCAACCTGCAAATGAGAAAGGACTTGTTGTGGGTTCAACAACAAGACGAGCCCAAGCCCTAACCTGGGCACCTGTGAACGTGATCTTATTTGGAAATAGGGTCTCTGCAGATCTAATCAAGTTAAGATGAGCTCATACTGGATTAGGGTGGACCCTGATCCAATGACTGGTGTCCTTATAAGAAGAGAGGAATTTGGACACAGACACACACAGGAAGGAAGCCATGTTGAAGATGGAGGTGGATACTAGATGGAGGTGGCCACAAGCCAAGGGACTCCTGGGGCCACCGAAGCTGGAAGAGGCAGGAAGGAGCCTCCCCTGGAGCCTCAGAGGGAGCTCGGCCCTTGCAGCATCTTGATGTCCCACTTCTTGCCTCCAGAGCTGTGAAAGAATGAACGTCTGTTGTTTGGAGCCACCCAGTTATGGTGGAAGCCAATATGGGTCAGGCATCTACCATATAAACAGAGAGTCTCAAGTTGGTCAAGAAAGACAGACAGATCACCCAAGAGGAAAATGGACAGAAGAGGCTTTCAAATGGCCATGAATACTGAAGTGGTGCTCACTCCATTATCCTTGAAGAGACAAATG